CCTGCTTCCTTTCCTGCTGCAGGCGCGGCTCGAAGGATGGTTTTCACGACCAGGCAGGGACGATCTGGAGCTGCACCGAGTCGTTCTTCCGACAGGCCCGAGGCTTGTGTCTTGCAAAAGGCTTGGTGCTTGGGAAGACACATGCAATTTGAAAGTTCCCTTTAAAAAGGAAGGTCCAGTCTAAGCATTACTCTCAGAACACTGCAGCAGTCTTAGATAAGCCAGCAGAGGTGGAAAGTCATTAAGAAGAAAGCCCTAGTGCCTTAGAAGGAAACAAGTCCGTTCAGACATCAAGTCATCCCATTAGGTGCAGCATCACTACCTTACAGGTACAGCTACCTGTAGTAAAAGCTGTTTTAAATGACAAAGACAAAAAGGCAGACCTTCAACAGGCAGCTGACAACATCCCCTTAGCTCACACTTTCATATTGCAAACAAGGTGGCCGTTCCTCATCATTGCAATTGGTTAAACTAGAACCAAGGCAACTAGTCTGCATTGGTCCATTTTGTACACTCAACATTCATACGTTGGCAAATGCAGGCCAAGAGATGTAAACTCATTTTTTTCCTGACACGTTCAGCAAACTGAGGAAAAGCAATGGAAATTCAAGCACAATTAATTTTAAATGTGTGAGACATAAGTGAATAATCAACATGAAATAACATTCATTCAAAATAAGGTGTTGGGTTTTTTTCCTTAAAGGTGGCTGTGCTGTTCAGAATCCTAAACATAACAATTACTGTCCAAAACCAAACAGAAGGTGATACCAATTTCTCTTTAATGAAAGTAAAAACAACATGGAGCCTTTTACCAAAAATAGTTTATTGCACAAAACTTTTAAAGGAATTCCTATGCACATTGTTTTTATAATCAACATGCTTTGTATGATCATAAACATTAATTGTACATAGCATAACTCCTCCGTCCCCTGGGTCATCCACTCAAGAACATGAAATGATGAACTTCTAGCTTTACAAATACAGCCAAAGCAGACATTACTGAATGTCATGTATAAAAAGGAATGGTATTTCCTTGACAATATCCAGAACATCTTTCCTTATCCTAGAAATGTGTGCATCTGTGTTGGAAACTAGTGCCCTACTGCCCGAGACCACACATGAGTAGAGGGCAGGGATGATCAGATGACAGCTGATGAGCGTTAGTAATTACTCTGGACTCTTAACTGCTTTCACATGAAAATATTTGAAGGCTCTGGTCAGAGTGAGTCACATGCAACTATCTGCACTTCCATAAAACATGTATCACAAGCTTTTGCATCACCAGGAGTGAATTGGTTACCATCTTTAAGTTAAATTTATATTGATAACACCATCTGTCTGCAGTGCCCCTTCAATGCTGTTGTAACTAGCACTAAAACATCCTGCTACTGCAGTTCATTCCCCTAAAAAGGAATAAGTAACCTATGAAAATACAAGCACTAGGAGTTTACCTGTGGATATTACTCTGCTCTTTGCATATCTGAAATTTTCATAGATTGCAGCTAGGATATTGCCTGGATAAATAGTATGAGATCAGAACCTCCCATTACATGAGCAGATGGGGAGCTCAGCTGATCCCAATACAGTGCACAAGTATTTCCAAGAAATCTGGAAGACAAGAGAATGGAGCATTACACACTGCTCAGCAATACCAGACACTCAGTAACTACCTTTTTTCTTTTTCCCCCACTGTAGGTTTTGCTGGTTTCTTTTTGTTATTTGTTTGTTTTTTCAAATGCAGACTTTTTCCATGAGTCCTCAAAACCCCAGCAGCACCTGCAGCACTAATGCTGCAGCATTTTCCAGCTTTCATCACTTGGGAAGCGTTCTCACATGAGTGACATTTCTCCTTCATCAACAAGACTTGGATTAATAGGTAGCAACCACTGAAGAAACAGACACCAAAAATACACTGTTGTAGCACTTGGATGAAAATACTCTTGAAGAGATTATTCTTCAGTTTCTAAAAACACACCTGTGTTAATGAGGCACTGATTTTCCTTTGATGTATTTTGGCAGTGATGTGACAGGCAGAGGGGAGGCAGTTTTCATTCCTACAACTAGTTGGTTTTATTGCCTACACAGAGGAGACCTGAAGCTTTGTATGAGCATGTTCAGCCTCATGGGGAGGCTTTTTAAATAAACCAGCAACTACTTCTGTGGATAATAAAGAAACAAAAGGCCTTGCTGTTACCACATGCTGTGTGCTCTTTCTAGAAAGCTTCCCAGTAACTTCCATAACTTAGTACTTCATCAGGTTCAGGCCCTCAAGTCTCACACTCTGTACCCTATTTAAGTGTAAATGGCATGATTCTTCTGTTTATACAAAAAAAACCCATGATGAATATTTAAGTGAAAATGCTAAATGTCCAGATATGCTCAGAGAGACAGGTGGGTCAATGCAGAAATCTGATCTGAGCATTTCACAACAGCTCCCTCATGCATCAAAGGAAAAACAGCCACCTAAAGTTACTGGATTGTGTGAGCTCAGATGTCTTCATAAGGAGCTAGTGAAAAAATGCAGCACTGTACTGAGAACTGGATGCAGTAAGATTATTGATAGGAAAAGGAGAGCAGACATTCTGGACAACTATGAAGGTTTCTAACAATTCTGGCTTCTTTGGTACCAGAAAAAAAAACGTTATCCATACAACTATTGCCAAAATTAAGAGATTAAAACATAATGGATTCTTATTTGTAGGCAACATATTTACCAAAATGAACAGCACTGTTAATGCTGCAAAAGTGTTGTTTTCTTTAAACTCCTGAACATTTGATAGTTTTTGTAGTAAATGTATTATTCTTTATGTAGTTCTAATTTTGTTCTTTAACAACACTGCACATTTTTTCTTCTTCAAGCTTAATATACAGGCAACTTCAAGAACACAACAACAGCAAGATAATCAGTACCATTCACCCTGCCAGACTGCAGCAGCATGTGCAGACATGAACATGTCTGAGCTAGTCTAAAGCTTTTGACTTTTCTTTGACATGTTTGGTAATTCTGTAGCGTGGGCACCTGATGCCACAATAATGCATTTCTTCCCTCACCAATTTCAAAACCTTGACTTTTAGCATCACTTGACTTTGATCCCAATAAAATGTTAAGTTAAAATCCAGTAGCTGAGTGAGATGAAATCAGTCAATATAGACACTCGACATGCACAGTGTTCCACTGGATTAGAGCTGGAATTGGTAAATATGAGAAATTAGACTTTAAATAAAAATGGGTGGGTTTAGGGATATCGTTTGTTTGCTCATTGTTAGCCTTACTGCTAAGCAAACTGCTGACATTTACACACTCCCACCCCCAATCAATCAAACTCATCCAAAGGCAGCAACAGTCTCTTTGAGAAAATAAGTTAACCAGAATTTTTGTGTTTTGTTTTTTTTTTCCCCCCCAAGGACTTAATTTACTTGTACTTATTAGATTATTTTTTTATGCCAAACTATAGTGGATATAATTGAACTGTTTCCTTTAAGTTTTAAAGACAGGAACACTCTAGTACATGAGCTGCCACTAAATCTTCCACCAAATCTGTCACGTATCTTTTGATTTGTGCTTGAGCACTTCACACATCAGGTGAGACAGCAGTTCCAACCCTGAACTTGTGAGCGAGGAGGGCTGGCTGGATGCTGCCTTACTTGGAGCAATGGAGCCAAAGGTGAAGGAATCTGAAGTGGGATGTGTGAATAACAGTCCAGTCAAGGTGCTCTTCAGAGGGGTTGCCACAGTACCAACTTGTCCTTCATGGTGGACATCTTGTAACAGAGGGTGCAAGAAGTATGGGAATACAGTGGGAAAAGATAAAGCTAATAAAAATAATTTTATAGACATTATAATTTTGCCTTTTAAAGTAAAAATAATTACATTTCTAGAAGCTCTGGCTTTAGGGGCTAATTTCCCTAGGCCATTTGTACAGTATGCCAAAAGACAGAGAACTTAAATGTAACATTAGAACAATGACAGTAGCAAAACCCCCTCATGTCAGACTTAACTTACAATATTATAAGCATATTAAATCAGATATTTAAAGTCAGAAAATTATTATTTTTTCTTATATATATATATATTACACACATACCTTTTTTCAAGGGTGTCTACTTCAAAAGTTGAACTAAAAAGGTGCAAGAAGTGTTTGTGCAGTGAAGCAAAGCTCCCTACTGGCCTGCAACTGTGAGAGAAAAACTGACACTTCTGCAAACATTCCAGGCAAATCTGCCCAAGGTACATACTGGTCTGCATTGCTTTTTGTTATAGTCTTGTTTCTTTTTCTATAGATGATTCTCCATAACTAGAAATGGCTTCATATTAATTTTTTGTCTTTACGTACAGATATCTGTAATTTGAAGTTCAAGACTAAGATTTATAGGAGGGAAAAGAGAGGATGCTCAGCATATTCAGTTCTCAAGCACTGCTAATGGCTGACCACGAGCAGAACTTAAATTTCCCTGTGATTTGGATACAACCCAAGATGGGGGAAAATAACACACACCCACTCTCACGAAATTAAAAAACAAAACAGAGCACCAAAACCCAGATGTTACATAAGTAACAGTCCATAAAAAAACTCAACCAGTTTGAAGAAATACATACCTGGAACCAGATGCTCTCTTGACCTAATTTTAAGTCTTCATCTGAATCTCCTCCTAAACCACCAAATAAGCTAGATTTACCATTTGGCGGTCCCCAACATGATAGAATCATTATGGCAAAGTTTCAAATCAGTCCTTGGAATAGCATGTTCTATATTTAATACTACATCAGCTTCTCAAAACCATGCCTTTTGCTTCTACAGGCAAAAGCACAAATCTGAACACCGTTTTTGAACATGAAATAAATAAATAACTTTGATAAAGATTTGTTTAGATACTTAAAGCAATAGGAAGAAAGACAACTGGTAACAAGGTTATAGTGTCAGAGCTTCCTCGTCACTCACACTACAATTCTGTTTCTTTTCATCTACAGTAGGAATCTCCAGCTGGTCTGCTGCAGTTGCAGGACTAGCTGAGGTAAGGTCCATTAGCTGCCCCTCAATCTGAGTCCATGAAGACATTGATTCATGTACTGTGATGGTGTGTTCCTCCATCTGACGCTGGAGGCTGTCCATCTCTTGCCTTTGGAGAAGAAAAACGCAACAATTAACAGCAGAAAGCTAACAGCTAAATGCAAGATAAGAAACTTACTTTTCTGAGTCTTGACACCTACTCCAAGAAAATCTAAGCTCTAGCTGTCTATGGGAAAAAGAAATCTACAGGAAGCTTAGGAATTGTCGGTCATTAATTTTGGAACAAAACAAATACAATCTGCTTAATTCAAAAGCAAGGGCCAATAATGCAGCAGCTCCTTTGCTGCATGTACTAATTGCCAGGGATGATGCAGAACTGTTCAATCAGTACACTTAGTGACTGCAACCTGATGAACGTGGTACTCTTTGTGGGATAAAAGACAAGACAGGAGGTAGAGGTGAGGAAATTAGAAGAGAAAACCCTAGATAAACATGTTATGACTTAGTCAGACACCAGCTTAGCAAAGTGACTAGTCTGGTAGCACAGATCACAGGCTGTTATCACAGACTCACTCCCTTCGAACATCAACTGAGGTGAGAGTAGCAGCTCAGCTCAACTAATAAGCTGATCTCCCTGTCTCCCTCAAGCTGTAGCTTCCCTGCTCAGAATCACATCTGCAACCCTGTAAAGGAAGACTTTAAAACCTATGTTTGGTAGTGTCTCTTGATCTGTAGATTTCTCATTAAAATACTGCCTGGGCTCCTATCATGAGCAGCCCTTCTGATGCCATGAAGAAAGAAACACTGTTTTTTCCACCAGCAAGAACAATCAGAAATAGGTATTTCTGGTTTCTTCTGCTGTGTATGATTTAGGATGGACATTTTGTCTAGTTTATTGTAAAGGCTTCCTTCCCTACCATATAAGCAAGCACTTAACAGTAACAGAACATCCTACTGTCCTAAATATAGTCCCAGTAAGAGGAAAATAACTCATTTTACAAATCCTTTTTCCCTCAGGCTGGCAGCTGGTTTATTGGAAACATTTTTAAGATCATTTAATATGGTTGAAAATAAAAGGTCATACTTCAATTGCTGGAGACAGCTGTTCAGATTTTTTAAAGGCTCCTTGCTCACAGCTGTTGATGGTTTCAACAGTTCTTCCAACAAGGCAGCAGGCACTGGACAATCAGGAATCTTGACTGGAGTCGCAGGATTTGAAGAGTTATTCTCTCCTTTCAGTTCCTTCCTCTGGTTAAAGGAGAAAAAAGAAGAGCCAGAAATAGAATTAAGTTATTTCATCAGTGTCATTTTTACCACACAGAAAGAGTCTCACATCACATGTCTGGTAAACATCTGCATTATAGAGCAGGAATCAGAAGCTCATTCATGTAAAGTCTCATAGATCACAAGCAAAAGTTCCTAACCTCATCTCATCTGCTTCCCATGCTCTTAACTAAACAAACAGCACCTAGAAGGACCTACTCAAGAACTCACCCTACTAAAGAAATAAACCAGGAAGGATTTAAAGCAAATTACCTGGATCTTTACAACAAATTTTAAAAGCATTATTTCAGTATGGTTAACAGAACAATTCAGAAAAAAATATAATCAGTTTAGTACAATAAATAAAACCCTTCTGGAAATTCTGGAACCTGCTGGATGAGGTATCAGGACCAATGTCTAAAATAATGAAATAGAGTCTTCCATACAAAATTCTGTCTCACTAAGTGAGAGGTTTACTTCAGGGAGGGAAAGAGCAAGAGCTCTACTTTAACTGCATTTTCTGTGCACTAGTAGCAAACCAGAAAACTCAAAGAAACCACTGATAGTTCCCTTTTGAAATTGCTAAATAATGACAAACTAGACAGTATGGAGAGGACAGACACACTAGCAGAGTATTTTCTGGTACCCTACAACATGCATTCTTTCTATTTAAATACCTTCTTCATCTTCCCATGCTTCAGATCCAGCTTCAGTTGCTGGTTCTGCTGCAGCAGTGACTTCATGCTGTTCTTCAGTTCAGTCACTTTAACCTGCAGCATAAACTTATCCTTACGAGTCACTGACAGGTCTTCCCTCACCATTTCCAGCTCTGTCTTGATATTCTAAATGAGAAAAAAAGAGAATCAACATGACACAGGGAGATGGTATAAAAATTCCAGCCAACTCATGTTTGGGTTTTTTCCATTTCCAGGGCAAACTGGAAAAAGACACTACACATGAAACTGCTATTTGAAGTCCATTTACCCTGGCAGAAAACCAGAAACTGGATTCAAAAAAGTAGTTGTCTATTTTAATTGCACAAGGTCAAGGAAATAAGCAGCTCACAGCACAGTCAGAGTAAAGCTGAAAAATGTAAATATGCTGGAAAAAACACAGTTAATAGGTTTCTATGAAAAAAGAACTAGGTAAAAAAAGTATCAGAAGAGTGTAAGTATGCTTTTAAACAATAAAAATATTGTTTTAATTATCCCCCTAGGCAATACCAGATTTCCATCAGAATCTCCACAGAGTAGATGGAATACCTGCAAGACAACTTGAACCCCTTCTAACTCCTTGCGGCTGCGCTGTTCATTCATATCCAGCTGCTGCTGAAGTGTTTCAATTTCTCTTTCTTTTTGTTCTACTTCCCATTTAAGGTCTTCCACCTGCCAGAAGGTTAAAAAAAAAAAAAAAAAAAAAGGATCTTAAGTATCTTCAGAATTATCTACCAGTGCAATCAACCACAAAATCTGAAATATCTTATTATGTCTCACTTTCTAAGAAAACATATCATTAAAAAGGTTGTATTAAAGACAAATGAACTCGTACCATGCATCATAAATTAGGATAAACACAGTAAATGCACAGTCTTTACCTCTTGACTTACTACAGGCTCTTCACGAAGTTTGTCATCCAGGTTCTTCTGCAGAAGTTGGAGCTGAGACCTGGTTTCGGCCAACTCTTGCTGAAACTGTGATACCTCCTGGGAATGCTTCTCATCCTCTACCCTGCACAGCAGGATTAACACACACAGCAGTTACTCAAGCTGTCCTTTAAAACAAGTACTTCACCTGGTTAGCTATGGAACCATAAATGACATGATAGTGCATGGAACCTGGCTAGTTACAGCTTTGACTGAAGGCTTTGCCACACATTCACAGGAAGAGGTAAATCAAAAAAAGATGTGATGAGACATACGCACTAATATATCATCAAATATCACAAATAAACTTCCTTGAGCACTGGTAATAGTCAGTTACAAACAACAGAGTATGCAGTAAAAAAGCCAAAACTAAAGAGACAGGAGAATGCAAATGTTCACCTAGAATCCAAGTATGCACCTTATGGTCAAGCTAAGCTGGGATACACTTCAACATCATCACTCCTGAGTGGCAGCACCAAAAATTCACCAACGTATTTTTATTTTCAGGGGATTTGTTTCATTCCCTGTTCTCTAACAACTCAGATATCTACTTACTGCAGTTTGTCCACTTCAGCCTGCAGGGCCTGGATAAGCAGTTCTTTGGCATGTAGCTCTTTCTTGATTTCACTGAGCTCAAGCACAGCAGCCCTGTAATGACGCCGGTTGTGTGCTGCATCCGCTTTGGCTGCTGCTTCCTACCAGAAAATAAAAGATGCCCTTTTTTAACTTTCTCACTTTAGGTGAATCATAAAGGGACCTAGACTAAAAGGGTACAAAACAAAGCAAGAAGGAAGTTGTGCAGGTGTAACACTTCTCTCTTTGTCTAAAAAATCTTACTGTTAGTGTTATTATCCCTACTAATGCTAATGGCAGTTAGTAACTGTTTATAATGGAAGAAGCACGTTCTCCAGACTTCTTCACTGTGCATTTTTGGATGAAGTGTCATCACTTCAGGATATGTCCCATGCATTCCAAGTCATAACTGGACTTTCCTGGCAATCACTGAGTATGCTCAACACAGGCCACAACTAAAAAGAAAACAACTGATCTTCCAGCCAGACCCTGGCAGGAAGAAGTTACACTATTGAGCACAGATTGTGTTTCAGGCTACTTTGCCAATACTACATGTAAATCACCGTTTAAGTAAATGAGCCAAAAGATAAGCCATTACCTGCTTCTTAAGGTCTTTAACTTTTGACTTTTCTTTTTCTAAGGAAGCCTGTAAAGCTTGAATAAGTTGTTGCATTTGCTGATCCTCTTCCTCTTTCCGCTTCAGCACTGCCTGAACCTGTATCACATCACAAAAACACACGCAACATTTGTGCAAGCTCTCTGGAAGACTAGAAGTGCCAGCAGAGGAAATACAGACACAAGCCAATGCAGGGATGGCAAAACTCCCTGCTCTTCACTGAGAACTCTTTTCTCTTGCTTAGCCTCCTGTATTACTGCTGTTACAGAAGACAGGGGAGACCCAGGCCTGGAGAAAATGCACCAACTTTGTACAATACGAATGAAGATATCTAAACCCTGTTATCAGAAAAATGAGCTAATTCCTTTCTGAAGATACAGTATCAAGAGGTCAAATACCTGCAGATTCAGTTGTACCAAGTCTGCCTCTCTTTTTGCTAATGCTGTTTCAAGGATATTGTTGTGCTCCCGCAAAGCAGCGTTGGATTGACTGAGACCTGTAAGTTTTCCACGCTCATGCTCCAGTTCAAGGGCCATCTTCTTATTAATTTCTTCTAAACGTTTTATTTTCTTCCTGAAGCCTCTGGATTCCTGAAGCTATATACAAAGAAAAAAGACACATCAAACAAACAAAACCAAACTCCATATTCCTACCACAAAAAGTTGTGAGCTAATTTCATTAAACATTGTGTTTGCACAGCATAGGATTTTTTTCCCCCTGCTTTTCTTTTATAAACTTACTTAACAAAGTAAGTTCAGTTTGGTATTTTTTTCTTTTTGGAAGATTAAAATACTTGCTAGAAAGCAGAATCCAGGAATACTGTTCAGATGTTGTAGTTGATATGCATATAATCCGTGCAACTCCACAAGTGAACACCACCACCCTGCCCTCAAATTCACTGAGCATCCATGACTCCAAATAGTGTAAAAAAATAATGGTTCATGCATCCTCATCATCTCATGACCAGACACAGCTGGTATCTAGTACAGGAATTACTTTTTGCTCTCATCTGTTTCTCTCATATTTGATAATGATTCATGAAACCACAAATAACCAGCACAGGGCAGCAAAATTAGCAAGTGGCATTGACACAATGTCTCCTAAGATTCTGATTTCCCTGCACCGTTGGAACAAAATTATAGTATTCAAATTTCTCCCTGCCTCTCAGGGACTTTTTGTTGTTACCCTCCATGCAAATTCAAGCAGTCACCTCATCCTCAAGTTCCAGCACTTTCTCTCTGTATTCTTCAAGCTCCTGGCTGGTAAGTGAAATCACTTCTTGCAGCTCTTTTTCCAGCATCAATTTACTGCTCCTAACAGCTTGCAGTTCTGTCTCCAGAGCTTGAATCCTTCCCTAAAGACAAAGGAATCACAAAGATGATTAGTGTATCACCTGTCTACAGGAATAATTTTGCTTTTGTTAAAAAGCCTACTTTTCTAGCAAATACTAAATGAGGTGCTACTGCTTCCTGTAAAGGTCTTGCTCAGAGCTTTGACCCTTGCACCCAGCTACTGCTGTTAGTGTATTTGATATCTTGCTCCAGTGGTCCAAGGAATTTGGGCTTCCCCCAGTAAATTGATTTTCTTATCAGAGGCACAATATATGAGCATGTTCCGGCTACTCTGAAAAACTTTTAACTGTTAATGAGAAAAAAAAGCTGTAACATCTAGAATTTTGGAAAACCTTCAGATGCTGAGCCTTAAAAAAACCCCAAACAACAATAAGCAAAAACCACCAACAACAAAAAAATCAAAAACAAACAAAAAACAAACCAATCAGGAAATTTAGCACCAGGTCTGATCATCCTCTTGAGCTTGGATTACAATTTTTAATCTCAATGATACAAGTAAAAAACAAATCCACAACCAAACCAAAGCCAAATCACCTCCCTCAAATGAAGTCAAGGAAATACTCAGTGCCCAGACTTATATTTATTAAGAAGATAGCTCTATCTTTGTGTTAACAATGTTATAAGACATGTGCCTACTTGAGCAATCTGGTTGTTTCCAGCATCAGCCATTTGTGCTTTTAGTTTGCTCAACTCTGCTTCAGCAGATTCCTTTGCAGTGAGGGATTCCTGCAGCCGACGACTAAGAATGCCAACTGCATTCTCATAGGCTTTATGTTTTGCCTTCATCTCTTTCTGAGCACTTGTCAGATCTGACCCCAGAAGCTTCATTTTCTGCTTCTGCTCAGTAATGGCCCTGGGGTGAAAAGAAAAACAAAACAGCAGGTGAAAAGAACTGCCTGAAAACAGTATGTAAAGATTCAACACTAACTAAGAGGTTTTTGTCAGACTAAAACTCCAATGTGAATTAGTATCTACCCCTCTCTCTAAAAACAACAGAATTTACAGCACGAATCTGATAAGTAAGAGCTGCAACTCCTGTGTACCATGCAACCAGCATGTTGCCCTGGAAATGACTCTATGACTCTTTCTGACTGAGTATTTAGCTTTCCCAAAGTGAAGATGAGGAAAGAGCAAAAGACTAAAAACATGACAATGAAACAGAAATACTTTAGTTCTTTTGTCTCTGCTAAAACAACACTTACTTTTTTGCTTCTTCTTGCATTTGTTCTACTTGTTGTTTTAATTCCTGATTTGCCTCAGCAAGAGATGCCATTTGTTCCTTATCGAACTGCAAAGCCTTAACAGGTAGGAAAAAAGCATCAATGACAATAAGAACAAAGCATGCTTGCTGTATGTTGGATTATTAAAGATTAAGCATGAAATTCTGAAATTACTTCCATTTCTAAATAGAAACTGTTCCATGGTTCTCCATCTCCTTTCTCATTTCCTTTTCTTTCTGCTTTAATTCTTCCCTGTGTGGCCACTACCGTGACATGAATGAACAGTCTTAGTTTGGTCTTTGCTCTCAAATGGACTTCACTTTGGGACCAAGAAAATTGCTTTCACTCTCCCATTCCCCTAGCCTGCTTCTCCCCACTCACTTAACATCAGATGTTAATCAGCAGTCACATGTTTACAGAATGTTGGTAGGAATATGCTCAAATCTATAGACAATACTAAATATGTACCAAGAGTCTTAACTTGCAGGTGGTTTAAGTTTCCAAGAACTAGCCACATATCCTGGATGTAACACCCTCAAAGTCCAAAGCTTAACACCTTCCATACCTGCAGGCGTGTTTCCATGTCATCTCGTTCTTTCTGCACTGCCTGAAGATGATTTTCTATTTCCACCATCTGCTGGTGAACCTGAGATACTTCCTTCTGTAGTTTTGAATGTTCAGATTCAAGTGACTGTTTTTCAACTTGAATTTTCATTAGCTCTCGTTTTAACTCTTTCACTTCTGAGTCCAGTCGTTTCTTTGTAGCTTTCAGTTCACTTATCAGCTGGTCCTTAGAACTTGCATCTCTTCGATAAGCTTCCACCATTACCTTGGACACAAGAGTTTCAAGAGGACAGTGTCACCTCTGTTCCTCTTAAATTTGTAAAGTCTTAATTTAGTATAAAGTACTTACTGATATTCTTTTAGTTTGAGGGGAGGGAAGGTGTAAAAGAAATCAAACTAGCCTCATCTTCTGTAACATTTACTTTGGTTCAAAGATTTGTGTGTAAGCTCAGGTACCAAATACCTCTATGGATCAGCAGTTCACAAAAAACCTCTAAGGGTGTTTATAGCACACATTCTTTATGCTTTTGCTTACCTTCTGCTGCAGAAACTGTTCCTTCACTTTCTGAACCTGTTTTTTAAGGCTGGCGTTTTCTTGTTGCAGATTTTCTACCTGCCAGAAGGGAAAAAAAAGCAAAGACATTTCTTTACATGCCAAATGTCATATTCTACATTATTTCAAGCAGTGACAGTATCTTTTGCTATGCTTGTACCAATGGCCTAATCTAATGAGGATCCTGTTTCTGACTAGGAATCTCAGTGGCACTGCTGAATAACACCATGTTTTATATACAAATACATTCACACAGGTCCCCACATAGTGAGCCTTTTCATGCGTTCCTGAGAGTTGACGTCTCTATCATGTGTCTGTGGCAATACTTCCCTGCAACAGCTATTTTAAATACAACACTTCCAGGGATTCTCTACCTGGCTGGACTTGACTGCCATTTCTTGTCTTAGTTGTTCCAAGACTTCTGATGCTACTTCTGTATCTTGTCCAAGGCGCGCTGCTCCTTCATCAAGTTGCTCTTTGCTTGCTTTTGCTGCCTGCAGAGCCACTTCCAAGACAATCTTCTCATTCTGCAAATATTGGATTGTGTCATCTTTAGAAGTAGCATCACTTTGGAATTCTTCTAATCTGGCCATCAGTTCATCATACTGTGTTTGCAGGTCATCCAGGGATTGCTCTTTGGTGTGCAGTGTCTCTTGGATCTGGGTGAATTGCTTCATTAGGTCTAGATGTTCTTGCTGTAAAGATTCAAGCTGCAGATCTCGCTGATGCAAAGTCAACTTGACCTGAGAAGTAGTATTTAAAGATTAAATTCAAACAAATTGAATGCTACTTTCCAAATGCACTCCAAGAAAAATAAAACATTTTCAATAATATCTTAGCTTCTAGGAGAAAACAGCATAGGGTGAAAATATTTTTTACCTTTCCTAGGCCACTTCTTCTCTTTGCTCTATTAATTTCATTGATTGACTTCTGCAGCATCTCTGATCTTACAGTCTAAGTACTGACCAGAATGGCAAACCTAAAATATTCTTAAGTAAGATTCACAGTATTCTAAATGTTCATTTGAAAAATGTATCCACAGTAGATATATACTGAGTAAATTCAGTGTTATTAATGATAATGCCATATAATGATAAGGAATATCATACTGAGCTATCACATCATCTCATTCCAGCCCTTAACATGCTGCCTTTGTGATGCTGCAGGTTAAAGCAGGACTCTGTAGCAAAGTACAGATTTATTACACTGTAAGTGTATGTAATGATATCCTGACTGCCTAATAACTTTGCACACGGATCTCTGCATCCTCTCTATGCTTAGAATAATCACACACTCTATTCACTAAAGAAACCAAACATCTACAAGATAGTAATTCTGAAATTTCAAAAAAGTTCTGTTACTGAGATGGTTAAAAAACAAAGGGAGCCTTTTCACCTGGGACAGAGTGACTTTGATATGGACTTCATTTTTGCAGCAATCTTTCAGGTTTTAAAAGAAGTTGAGAGGTCACTATCTATTATTGCCTTCTCAGCCAAATAAGTATTTCCCCTTGGGAAGATGCCCAACAGCCTACCTGTTCCAATTCTTGCTCCAATGTTGCTGCAGAATCAGCCATTTTCTGAAGCTGTTCTTTCTCATCCTCAAACTCCTCTAGCTTTCTCTGCAAGTCTTCTTCCACCATGGTTTTAGCTTCCTGGATCTGCACAAAGGCAGCTTCTTGATCTAACATGTCAGCCTGCACAGGGAAAACAAGGAATCAACTTTTACAATTTCAATAGAGGGGGAGTCATGGGAAAAAGAAGAGTAAAAGGTAAATTATCAGTAACATTTCTAGAGAAAAGACACAAGCAAAAATAATTCAGATGTTTGCCTTATATAACTCTGTCTTTACTGAAGTCACCCATTCACATACTTAAGACCCTTTAGAGTAACAGTGAATCAAGAGATTATACTTGTGACAGTCAGAATTCCTCTAAACAACATAATGTCCTTTCAAACTTGATGAAACAAGATGTAATGAAAAAAGATTCTTATCAAAATTGAGCCATTTGGAAAAATTCTAAACAAGAGACTGCTTGGATGCTGTAGCTACTCTGTGAAACAGCATTTCTTGTGATTTACATAATTGCTATAAGTAACATAGATGGGGTGCTGCCACTAACGTGCTGTTTTACTGCCCTTTGAGACTTAAGATGCAGAAATGTCACTGAAATTCAATGTGATTTAAGGTTCTAAGTACTCTGAAAGTGAGCATACTACACTTTAGATTTCACCTGTCTTTTCTAACTGGAAGGCAGTAAGGAAAAGCATGAGTACTGAGCAATTTCAAACACTTAAAACACACTTTACTTACTCAGCTTACCTTCCAATTAAGTTTTGTCTTTAAAAAGTTCCTGGGCAAAGAATATTCACATCTACCCTTAAAGTTCAATTAAAACCAAATACCAGAGCTGAAAATGCAAGTATCACTTTGGAATGGAAAACATGTGGCCTTGCTCCCTCTTACTGTTTGTAATGTCATGCAGATTGATTTGCTCTGAAATATTTACTGCTTTTATAATGCAGTACTTGAATCAATATATAACCAACCATTCAGTGTTACTTAGCTGGAATAGCTTTGAGTTTGCAAAATCTAAATACACAACACAGATGGAACATAATTCACCTACATTCATACCTCAATATTTTGCAGCTGTGCTGCAATACGTTCCTTTTCTTTAATGGATCTGTGCTGGGTTTCAGTCAGCTGCTGAGACAGTGCCACATTCTCCAGTTTGAGATGTTCCAACATACCTGCTTGGGTCATTTGGCCAGCCTACAGGATGGAAAAATAATTATCAAAGATTAGCACCAACAGTCAAAATTTGACCAATAAATTTAAGAGCTTAAAAAAACCCAAACAACAAAAAACAAACATGTTGAATCTATTTGTGCCTTATCTCTACTACTATTTCATGGCGCTGAAAATTTTCATCCACAGAAGGAAGTTCTTCAAATAAATTTATGCCTCAGCATGAACTAACACTTCATGATGAAAAACAAAACACCATCCCAGCCTGCTCTCCACCTGAAGAACACACAAGTGAGACCAGCTCCCTCATCCAAGCTCATAAACAATGTCCTCTGGATAAAACTAACATAAAAAATAAGATTCTCCATCCTCCTACCTGCAAGTACATCATAATACCTGTATATTGGCCATCTCACTCTGCAGCCTGACCCTGGCCTCCTGTGCCAGCACCAGCTGCTGCTGGTACCAGTGCCGCACGTTCTGGAGCGAAGTGATTTCCGTTTCAGACGCCTTCAGCTTATTGGTGAGTGTGGCCCGTTCCAGCTGCACCTTCTGGAGCTGGCTCTGTAAGGAAGCCAACTGCTGCCGCAGGTCATGAACTAGAAAAATGAAAAGAAAGAACCTGGACTGGTGCACTTCATGGTTCTACTTTTATGCACACATTTTCAAGGCCTGTTGCTACAACCCTGGCTTGTCCTGTTGCTTGTTTGGGGTTTTTTTTCTTTCGTTTTGAACAAAACATATATGCCTAATTACACAAATACTGGCTTTTCCTTTAAGTGAGGGGAAATGCTAGTCTGAAGTATCAGGTATCAATCAAAATTCCTTAGACGCAGAAAATTTGCACTAGTTAAGAATCAGGAAGCAGGTATCCTGACATATAGAATCATCATTACAAAACAGTATTTGTACAGTTTTCTAAAAGCCATTAGTCCACTGTCAGCTACATAGTTATGCCTCCCTCTCCAAGCTGGTAGTGGCAGCTTTGCAAACTGTGGCACTTCTGTGACACAAAGTAAAAAGCAATCATATTAAAGTTCAGACCATTCTGTGGCCCCAATGAAACCCCAATTAAAATTTCTTCTGGGTCCAAGACTTCAGAATTATGCTGAAATAAAATGCTTTACAGAATAGCAAATTTTAAAGATTCACATTTACATCATCCCACCTGTGCTGTCTCTGGTGAGAACATTTTTTTGCATATCTTCAACCTTCAGCA